GTGGTATGTCGCTTTTGGTGCCTTTACTCTAATTAATTTCTCGGTTACTATTACGAATATCGCAAAAAGGTATAAGACTTTTATATTTATTTTAACTAGCTCTACGTTCTCACGAGAGCTTCGTAGATTGTTCTGAGACATCCTGTATATTTTCTAAAATCTAACAAATATTTTTTTTAATTAAGAAATTGTTACGTCTGGATGTTACGTCCTGGTAGAGAACGCAACACGACGTAAAGCCTCGATCGTACTAGCAGGTCGAGTTACGAGTCAGCGACCAGAAGGATCGCTTTACGCGTGTACCGACGTACGACGAGTGGTCCTTTTTCGATCAGAGAACTGAATCTCTTTATCGCGGACGGACCGAGAGCGGATAAGAGAAATGAAGGGGGAAAAGGGAAGGATTCGAAAAGAAATTGTGATATAATTTGAATTAGAATTTAGGTAATTCTTAACGATTACATTTATTTTCCTCGCGGGGTTGTTACAATTTTTATTAACTACTAGCACGGAGACAAAGTACGCGCGCGTGTGTGTTTGTGTGTGTGTGTGTATGGACTTCTGGGTTAATACTCAGGATCATTGGGAGGTAAAGAGGGTGAAAAGTAGGTCGTGAGGGAAGATGGAGGAATAGGTGGAGGTGCTGGACGAGAAGGCAGATTTTGAGAAGGAAAAAAGGAGAACCGCCAAGTGAGGTGGGAAGGGTGGTAAATTTTGCTGTTCCAGGAGTCTAGGAAGCAACCTGTGCGTAATCCGGGACAAATACTGTACGCGAGCTACCCGGAGTTAAAGTTTTGATATTGAAGAAAACGAGTAACAAACTATAACTTACTGTTGATGTGCGTTTTGGAGGAGAGAGTAACTGTTGCTGGATTTCTCAGTTGGGCCCCTTTCGATCCTCGTCTGAATAGAACCTGGTGTTCGTGTGTGAGGGTTGCGGACGATCGCACGATGAATACAGCAATAAGCACAGAGAGTTGAGTAGCTGAACTCTTAGGGTACTTGGATTTTTCCTCAGTAGAAGTACAAGAGTAAGAGAAGTCCAAGAGTAGTGAAGTCCAAGAGAAGAGACCCGCGGTGCACGGAGTCGCGGTTATATATTAGGACCTTAACTTAGTTTCCGCCCGCAAATGTTAGATGGCAATGCAAACAGTTCTAGTAGTCATTACTAACGAAACAGGTAGTTTGTGATTAATTTCGACATTTCTCGATAACATTCAGTCAGCATACACAATTATTTTCCTAAACAACAATTTCTTTTGCTTTGTGAAAAATGGAACGCGATAAAGTGTTTTTTCGACATGTGCTTTTGCACTATTTTGATTTGAAAAAAAGTGTAGCAGAAGTTCATCGATTACTTGAAGAAGGTTATGGTGATCGAGCTCCATCACATACAACATGTAAAGAGTG